AACCGCTCCAGCAGTGGGCGTGTACGTTCGTTATCCGGCTCGCTGCACACATGCTGCTGTTCATCATCAGTTCTCTCTTCACAGCAGTTCAGTCAGTGTACTGTTTGAGTAAATGAATTACTCCGGGATATTGGTTTATTTAGACTCAGAGGAAGTGTCAGCCACGTTAAAAAGGTGAATAATTTAAGTAATTTGTGTATTAGTGCTTACTGGAGACGCAAACCGTTTCAAACGATTCAGTTCGATTTGGTGAACTGGTTCAACCGGTTCACTAAGAAGAACCGGTTAAATCGAACGATTCGTTCACGAACCGGACATCACTAGCATACACTCTTAGCATGCTTAGCCGGGTGCTAACATAAACAAACGGTCTTGTGAAGATGAAGAAGAGGATGCCCTGTTGAAAAAAACAGCATATGCTGGTTAGGTATGTTTTGAAGCTGGGATACTGGTTTAAACTGGTCCTTTGCTGGTTTATGCTGGTCCTTTAACAGGCCACATGACCAGCATAAACCAGCAAAAGGACCAGCATAAACCAGCATAAACCAGCAAAGGACCAGCTTAAACCAGTATCCCAGCGTCAAAACATACCTAACCAGCATATGATGTGCTCTTCTGGCACCATTTTATATTATGGTCGTATAGTAGTATAGTGGTCATAGGCTGTCGCTGACTAATGTTATTGTCGTGTTTAGACATGCTTCAGACACCAGTCAAGACAATGCAGTGCGAGTTCCCTATTGAAAGGGAACTAAATTTAGTTCATGTTTGTTTATTTTTTGTTTTAGTTAGTTTTAAAGGCAATCATTTTAGTTTTCATTTACAGTAGCTTTAGTCCTTTCGTCTTCATTTTCCTATCTTGGTTTCAGTTAATGATAACACTGCTTACAAGCATGTTTTATTAATTTCATTATTTGTTTTTCTTAAAACTTGAGTATGTTTATAATCCACATGACCAATTTTGTTTATGGTTGCCTAGAAACAAGGGGTGGCTCAACTTCAACTCAAGGCTCAAAACACCCCACTCTCCCCTAATTTGGTTCTGTGAAATTAAATTACAGTGTTTTTTCTTTTTACCTGCCAACTGAAACAGTGAAATCTAGGACAATGACAGGCCAAGGTTGACTACTACTAGAGAAAATGCACTTTGATATGTTCGCCTGGTATCTTGTAAGTCTGCGGTTAAATTGAGTTTGTCACAGAAATGTGGCAGTACCCGCTGCAGCAAAAGATTTGTTTTGGTCGAGTACCATCTTTACTACCGCAGTATATTGTAAATCTTAAAATAGTAGCAAAAGATGTTGACAAACTTGACAAAAACTAGTCACACAAACTCATTGTGAGGGCTCTTAAAATGTTTTGTATATTTTTTTTAATTACCAACTTTCAGTTTCAGAGCAAACTCTAGGTACTCATCCTCTGTTGCATCATTGCCATAAATCTTTCGCTCCAGTGTGAAGTCCCTCACAGCCCAGATGAAACTAGGGAAGAACTTCACAAACTCGCCCGAATCATCAGCTTCATTATTTGATGATTTGACCTTGATGCACTCTGTTAGTTCAGTGACATATCTGACAGTTTGTTCAGGCATGAACACAAAGCAGCTGTCAAACAACAAATCATGATGCATATTCTAACTACACAAACAAGTCATTCCATGAAGTACTATGCAAATTTACGGCACCAGTGCTAAATAACTTTCAGTATCACCAAGCCTAGTTATTAAGGAAGCAGTCACACCCTCATTTTTCTTTTTGCACATTTCTCAGAAACAAACAACCAAAAAAAAACATTGCATTTCCTCATAACTGACTGTAATTGCACCTGGCAATGAAACATATGTGCAGCACCTTACAAAAAGTGAAAAATCTTACTTTGACAACAAACTTGTGTTGAATTTGCATTAATTAATTTGCAGATTAATAGGTATCTAGCTTATTGGAAGGATACTGTAGCTCCTCTACAGCCCTGTTGTCAATCGTCCCTCGACTGTTGTAGACCAGAGTGCTGCTCAGTAACACAGCCAGACAGAAGATGTTGCTGTCATGCTTTGAGTCCCCCTGAGATGGAATTAGAAAATTACTGGAGATTCATCTCAATGAAAGCTGCTCGTGTGACTACAAACTTGTATTTGGGCTCTATTTTAACAGGGCTAAATCAGCACAAATTGGTTGTAGTGACAATGGATATGTTTTGAAAGCCATATTAAGTAAATGTGTTCCGTGAATCTGCTTATGTTAAAATAACTACTTTTGTATGTTTTAGTTTGGCCGTTACATCACCTTGTCCACATCTCCGAGTCCCTCAGTGTCCAGCAGCACCAGAGTGGTCCCTGCTTTAGTGGGGTGGGGCACACACCACATCCAGATGCCCTTTGTCTTAGACTCAATTGTGCTGCCCAATGCAAACCCTAATAATTCCAAACACAATGACTAATATGCATGGGAGGTCGTTCATTTGAAGTCCATGATGTTTCTCTTAAACTTTTGGATGCTATCAGTGCTGCCTGTTTACATGTAGGTCTAACCTGTTTGTTTTCCTGCGAGGCGGTTCATCAGGTAGGACTTCCCGGTGCGGTAGAGTCCCACCACAGCCACCACCACCACTGGCTGCTCGATCTTCTGCAGGATCTGCAGCGCTGACTCCTTGACATACAGCTTCCCACCTGACTCTGTGTCAATGAAGCATTCTGGTTTGTCCATAGACAGTGGTTTGGCCATGTTCACTGGAGATGGAGCTGCCGAACAAATACACACAAATTTAAAATACTACAGTAACTGGTGGGTTGAGAAATATTTCTCCCCTCTCCATACCATTTCACTTCTTGTCTGTCTGTACTACCCTATTGCAACAAAGGCAAAAATGGCAAGCAAACCCACACACACACACGCATATATATATATATATATATATATATATATATATAATTAATATTCTATGTATTAAAGCTAAGCATGAATCTCATCAAATTAGTGTTTTTAAGCATTTTACATTTATTCCAAAATATTATCTCAAGGCAGTAACAATTTGAAAAATATATTTTGTGAACTTATGTTCAGCTATTCTTTAAAATAGTTAACTTTTAACTATTTGAATTTTTCAGATCATGAGTCATCGAAGCTCTGTAAATATTGGTCACAGACACAGATTTATTTTACGTTTCACCAAGCTGATTACTCACTAAAAACTCCCACAGATCACGTTTTCATGCCATTTTAAGTCTTATTTTGACGTAACAAAGTGGTTATATTGTTCATTCAGAACATGCACAAATGCAAAATATGGGATTTATCGCATGAACCAATCACAGACGAACAGTCATATCCAATCATATCGCTATGGAGGCATTGCCTCTTCTCACGTGATTTTCCCCCATTCATTCTCATTTACCCCCCACGCTTTAATTGGTCTGTTAAAACTCAATGGGCTCAGGGGAGGCGAGAGCGACACGGACTCCCGCTGTTACTTTACCTGCTGGTGTCACTTTTGGACAGTGTTTCTTTAGAGAAATTAGTGATTTATATGCTTTTTAATGTTATATTTTTTAATATTGGTTTTATTTTTGTATTACAAATTTTTTTCTCATCTGATTTTTTTGAGGAGACACTGCCTCCCTTGCCTCCTCGGAGGAAACACCCCTGATGTATATATCACACATGTAGCAGTGCGATATGGCTGTATATCGGCAATCAGATTCAAGGACAAGAAAGAACTGTTGTGTGTGTGTGTGTGTGTGTGTGTATATATATATATATATATATATATATATATATAAATTGTTCCAATTTCTAATAGGTTTCATATAGGTTTTTACTTTATATGACCATATATTTCATATATGGATTGCATATGTATATATTACATTTGCATCTGGCCTTTTCCCCTTTTAAATATAAATATAACCCTCACAGGAAACAAACACAGAAAACCCTTAGATTTATTAGGGAGATACCTCAGGTGTCCGTATGAACCATGTTTACATTGTAACACACACACACAGAGTGTATAGAGTAATAAAATTAAATTACCAACATGAAATCACACTGGTTCATTATCAACCTTCTGAAGCAATTTAAACATGAATAATCCACTGATGTGCTTAAATTGAATGTAAAACATTGGACAAGGTGCCTGCTTTTAGAAGAGCTGTACAAATGCTATAATGGACAGAATAAATTAGTATCACTTACCTTTTTGCTTAACTTCACTTCAGTAGATTGATCTCAGTAACTGAGTTGTATAAATGTTGTGGCTTCCTGATACTTTACCCTCTTAATGCTAATTGGTCTAGAGTGAGATAGGGAATGGCTCCGATCTTTCAGTATCTCTCTGGTTATTCTCTGTGGCTGACTTGCACCTCCTTCTATTGACAATGTGTTAATTTCTTACTCTTATTTTCACTTTCAACATCAGTAGCTGCAACATGTGATAGCAGATACAAGATATTGGGTTGTTTTTTTTAGAATGTGCAACCACATACACACATTTATATAAAGAGAAAAAAACATGAAGGGTTTTCCTTTGGATTAAACAATACAAATATTTGGGAATAGTACTTCAGTGTTTGCTTCAAAACTGATTTTATCATGAGGTTATTATACTGAAAGCTCTTCAGCTTATATTTTTGGGGAAACTGTATTTTTAACATGAATGTCTCTTTTATGAAAACATTTTCTACTTGTTTCATTGATTTTGTCTTACCTTTTTTCATTATTTGCTGGTATGGCAATCTTAATGTAAGAAATAAGGTTAACTTGAACAGTATGGTTAAGATGTGTAGCAGGATAGTGGGGACTAACTTAACGACTATAACACAAATTTATGGAACAAGGATTACTAAGAAAGGCTGATTAGTCCTCTCCGAAGCTGAACACCCATTGTTTAATGAGTTTCAGCAGCTTCCGTCAGGTCAGAGTTACAAACTCCCCTTGTGTGAAACAAACGAATATGATTTATTATTATTATTATTTTTATTCCTCAAGTCATCATGTTTTTAAATAATTCATTACAATGCATGTCAGTATTGTGTTTTTATGTATGTATGTATGTATGTACAGGTGCATCTCAATAAATTAGAATGTCGTGGAAAAGTTCATTTATTTCAGTAATTCAACTCAAATTGTGAAACTCGTGTATTAAATAAATGAAATGCACACAGACTGAAGTAGTTTAAGTCTTTCTTTCTTTTAATTGTGATGATTTTGGCTCACATTTAACAAAAACCCACCAACTCACTATCTCAACAAATTAGAATACTTATTAAGACCAATAAAAAAAACATTTTTAGCCTTCTGGAAAGTATGTTCATTTACTGTACATGTACTCAATAACTTGGTAGGGTCTCCTTCTGCTTTAATTACTGCCTCAATTCGAATGAACTTTTCCACGACATTCTAATTTATTGAGATGCACCCTCTATGTGTACTTCTCACTACAAAACAAATAGCCTTTTTAAGGACTAAAGTTAAAGTTGAGTTGAGTTTTATGTGGGATACCATACTACACAGATTGGAATGGGATCTTGTCTTAGAAACGTTTTTTTTCTCCTTCTGATGAAGTTCTTTGTAAACTCCCAACAATGGCTGGCTGCACTTCCTCAAGGGTTATCAGACACCATGAAAAGAATAAGGAAAATATTATTGTTATTATTATTATGTTAGCTTGAAAAAGCCAACTTGCTGATCTGCTATTTAAGCTTCTTCTTCTTCTGAGACAAAATTTAGTCTGTATCTCCTAGAGCTTTAAAACTACAACTAGCAAACTCGGGTCAGACCTTTAGACTGTTCTGAAGTTAGTTGCTATATCTTTTCTAACTGATCTGGCTTCTAGTTTTCATTAAATGGAGAATCAAAACTATGAAAAGTCCCATAGATTTTCATTGAGGGGGGTCAAAACTTTTGTACTGTAAGACTTATAGGGTGTCTAAGCTGTCTATCACCAGCAAAGCTTAATGACTATCCTAGGACAACATGCTAAATCATGCTAAAAACATACTAAAACATGTTAGTAACGTGCTAATCATGCTCAAACATGCTAATTGTGTTAAAAAACATGCCAGCAACATGTTAATCATGCCATCTGCTCTGCTGTGGTGGTCTTCAGTCCCACCTGCTCCACCCTGGTGGTCCTCAGCTCCTCCCCGGCTTCCTGCTCTGCCAGCTCCACCCTGGCTTCTTAATCTGCCGGCTCTGATCTGGTGGTCTTCTGCTCCACCTTGGCTCTCTGCTCCGCCGCCTAGGAACTGATTGCATGCACACCTGTTTCCTGTCAGTGGACTATTTAAGCAGCACACAAACACATTCACTTTGCGAAGTCTTGTTCAACTGTTAGCGGGCACCACTTGTTTGTTTGCCTTGCCTTGTTGATACCTTGTCTTGTCTTGTCTTGCCTTGCCTGTTTTTTGGAACTTGGACTGTTTCATTATTTTTTAGTGATTGTTTGCTGCCTGCCCTGACCATTGCCTGCTTTGGATTACTCTTTAGCCTTGCCCTGGATATAGTTGTTTGCTGGTGTTTGACCCTGCCTGTCTCGACCACGATCAGTTTAATAAAGCTTGCACTTGGATCTACAACCCCATTGTCAGACCCAGCCTGTTTACATCATGCTAGAAACATGTTAAAAGTGTTAAACATGTTAACATGTTAAAAATATGCTAGAAACATGATAACAACATGTTAATCATGCTAAAATATGCTACTCGTGCTAAAAACGCGCTAAAAACTTACTAGCAGCATGGTAATCCGAGGCTTCCGGCTTCGCTACCGTTCGGACGTTCTTGCTTACTGCTCTGCGCTTTGCTCCCTATTTCTGTACTTTTCTCCGATTTTTACTTGTGAATACTGGTATTCTACCACCCCCTGTACATCTTGAGAACAGATTTGAAGCATTAATGAATGCGGGTGAGGAATCCCCAAATGTGATTAAACATGGATCGGATCAGCCAGCAGCTAACATCGCTACTAACAGGCGCTCAAGGTCAAGCAGACAGTGGCTTTCAGCTCAGAGCGCAGCCAAGCCCAGGACTCTGATAGTGGGCGACTCCATTATCAGAAACACCAGTAGCAGAAATTCAGCAACTTTCTGCTTTCCTCAAGCAACAGTTTCTGATTTGAACAAAGAACTTCGGAAAATTCTAATGAAGCACAAGACTGCAAATCGAATCATCATCCATGTGGGGAAGAATGATATTCGGAAAGAGCAATCAGAACTCCTTAAGAAGGACTTCAGTGAACTCTTTGAAACACTTCGAAGACTTAAAGTTCAGTCGTTCATCAGTGGGCCACTCCCAGCAAGAGGAACTAATATGTTTTCACGTTTGCTTGGGCTGAACACATGGCTACAAAGAATCTGCAGCTTAAAAGGAGTCAATTTCATCGATAACTTCAATCTTTTCTGGGGCCATAGACAACTGTTTAAACTGGATGGCCTCCACCTAAACAAACTTGGTGCAAGAGTGCTAAAGGACAACATCTACTTCTCCATCCGTCATCCTTCAGTAGTGTGTGCCAAACTACTCAACCTGAATGGCACACACACACCTGGACAGAGTATGAGTGACCACAGGACTTCATATCAGCTTCCGAGTCATCATGTGGTTGACACATCCCACAAGGACACTGATAACACCACGCAGCCACAACAAGCACTGCTCATGGACACCATCCCGGCTGAGCCCTTCCCACAGAGCTCATCACAGACAGACTGTGACGTATCAGAACAGCTCGGCTGAGCCCTGCCCACAGAGCTCATCACAGACAGACTGTGACGTATCAGAACAGCTCCAAGACTCAGCACCCAAGGACGACTTTCTGGAAAACAGCCAGGGAAGCCAGGACAACATATTTCAGCCACCGGAAACTCCAGAGCCACAGCCCCGCTCTCCAGACACATTATCCCTCTCTCCAGCATCTCCTCTTCTAAGCTTCTCACAGAAAATGGAGGAACTGGTGTATGCTGGGACCAAACTCTCCCACTCTTTTGCTGCAAGATATTTCCCCCAGATTCCCGGCCGCTGCCACAATGCCAGGGCCCAAACCGTCCTCCATCTACGCTAGGTGAACCAAAAACAACTGATAACAGCTCTCAGTTATATGTGTTGGGTCCCCGCTATAATAGCAGCAACATTCACAAATG